GTGTGTGTGTGTGTGTGTGTGTGTGTGTGTGTGTGTGTGTGTGTGTGTGTGTGTGTGTGTGTTGCTCTGCGCAGCGTCAGGCAGCCCGGGGCTCTTACCGGGCGTGAGCTGGGGGTCCTCAGAATCCACTTCCACATCCTCGCGCTCTTGCTTCAGCTTCTATGAGAAGAGAGCAGAGCGAGGACTGTGCTCCAGGCGCGGGCTCAGTGTGGGGGCCAGGCCGGGCACGAGCACCCAAACAGATGAGCTGGGAGCAGGAAGCGTGTGAGGGGGCTGCGGGGCAGGGAGCCAGGTGGGACCCTGAGGCCACACTCGCCATACAGTGCACACACACTCCCCCTTGAAACCCACAGGCCCTTGCAGGAGGCTACCTGAAGAGCCTGACCAGGCCGGCTCTGTGTCCTGACCACCGGACTGCCCCACTGAGCCCTGGGCTGAGCAGCTACTGTCGGGGCCAGTTCTGGGGTGAGCCCTGCTGCCGCTCTGGGCAGCTGTCGGGGGCAGAGGGACAGAGCAGGCAGGTGAGGTGGGGGGAGCCGTGAGGACCCCGCAGACCCTCGGAGGAGGAGAAGGGGGCCGGCCTGAGGGCGTCCACCGGCCGCCCATCCCAGGCCCGGCCGAGACGCCGCGCCCTGAAACTCGGAAGCTGGGAGGCCCCGAGGGGGAGAATCAGGGCGCCCTGGCGGTGCTCCAGCCCGTGGGTGCGGGCCTGCCTCCTGGCTGCAGAAACTGCCAGGAGAACCTACTTGGTTCTGTACAAACAAAGAAGAAAAGCCAAGGAACCACAGTTCTTCGCTACGAGGCTAAAAGCGCTGAAAGGGTCTTGCTTTGGAAGTGGGCTCGTTCCAGGTATAATCTTACCTTTCAAAGCTGTGCTTCTGTAACAAGCTGCTAAAAACACGAGTGCCCAGCTGCCTTACCTTCTCCAGGAGTTTCAGGGTCAGCAGGGTCAACCGATCTGCCACCGAGGAGTCCAGCATCCCGGGGCCGCAGGAGGGGACGCCACGGGCCCGCCCCTCCCCGTCTCAGTTCCCTCTGGAAGAACCGCTCAGCCGGAGAGCAGCAGCCCAGCCCTGGGGCCACTGAAAGAATCCCACGCGGGCTCGGTTTGCCTTCTGGCCTCTGCGGCCAGAGAAGAGCGTGTGTGTGTGGGGCACACGCCCTGGACACACAGTGTCGGGCATCGCCATGGTGGTTGCTAGGAGCCGCAGACATGGCGAGGCCCGGTTGCCAGGTTTCCACTGAGAGTCCTTCCCAGGCCCCGCCTGTCCCCATGCAGGGGTTACCAGTAAACACTGCTGATCCCCAGGTGTAGCCAGGCGGGGCTCCTTGGGAAGGAAAAAGTGGGCAGCAGCTGGGGCCCGAGGGGTACAGTGCAGCCCGGGCGGGGAGGACAGAGCCCAGAGGATGGGGTGGGGAGGGGCACGGCATCCACCCCCCCGCACCACGGGGGCCTGCCACCCCTGCCCTCAGTCTGTTATGGCCTCCAGGAGGCCAGCAAGCCCCTGGCCTTTCCTAGGGATCCTCCCAGCCAGACGGGAGTAAAGGCCAGAACACTGGAAGACAGGGTGCGACCACCACCTCCCTGCAGACTTCAGGAAACTCTGCGTGGCACCAGGGAGCTGGCCAACAAGGTGCCTGGGGGCTTCTGGGTGGGAGCTCAAGGTGGGCTCACCCCACAGGCACCCAGCTGGCATCTCAGAGGACACGGGGCCACCCCGAGGCACCAGCCCTCAGGGTGGATGTGATTCCAGCAGGGGGACTGCCCAGCCGGGACCCATGCCCAGAGAGGGGCAGGGGCACCTGGGAGGCGGACCATCGGTGGGTGACCCACCTGCCCAGCAGAGGGCATGTCCACAGGGCTGGCATGGGGAGGGGGTGTGATGGGAGGGGAGGGGGTGAGCCCATCAAGGGAAGACTTTTCTAAATGATGCTTCATTTCAATGCTTCCCAGGAAGGGCAGCTTTGAGTAGTGTTGTATTTTGTTTTATATTGTATCAATACCTACTGTATCGGGCATTTTGTAGGGTGTCCCTCTACTATTGGGATTTGTTTGATGATTTCTCACAATTGGACTGGCGTTATGGGTTTTTGGGAGGAAGACCACAGAGGCAAAAGGCCCTTCTCATCACGTCCCATCCAGGGTGTGTGCTGTCAACATGACCTACACTGTGGACGATGACCTTAGTTACCTCGTGGACGTGTGTCTATCAGGTTTCACCACTGCACAGCTACTATTTCTCTCTCCCTTTCCACACTGTCTTCTTCAGGAGGAAGTAGCTATGCACAGCCCATACATAAGGAGTGGGGGGTTGTGTTTCCCTCCTTGAAGGTGAGTATCTACATATCTGGACAGCTGTTTAATTGTTAAAAATAAGTTAAGAGTCAGATCCAACATTTCAGAATATCTAGAATAGCCATGGATATGATTCTGGGGTTCCTCGGAACACAGTTTGAAAACCACTGGCCAAAGCAGCGTGGGCAAACACGTGGGCCCCCCACAAAGTTTTAGAGGTACTGCAACATGTAAAGGTTGAGAGATTCAGGCATAGATCTGAGTCTCTGACTGCTCCTGGGAAATCCGATCCTGTGGTCTGCTAGTGTCGCCTGCCTACCCCTGGTCTCAGGAGGCCACCGCCTCGTGTCTGTGAGCCAAGACTGCAAGCATCACTCACCACACAGAGGGCTATGGTCTGACACAGGAGGAGGTTGAACTTCCAGGGCTCCCTGAAGATTTGTGTAAGTTGCGGTTGCTTAGACTCACACGTTCACACAGGTTGAAAGGTGAGCTTGTGTCAATAAAGTCACTACAGCACGTTCGTGGAGGAGCATAGTTACTGGCACTCAGTCTCAGAGAGCAGACAGGGGGCACACGGCCCTCACACAGACCCTACTGCACTGAAGGCACAGGAGTGAAGGAAACACGGAACCCGCAGCATGTTCGCCGGACACCCCTGCACGTTAACCCGCAGCAGCGCTGCTTGATACGCCACCTTTTCTCCAGCTGCCGCTTGCAGCGCTGTCATCCTACCCAGCTCTACCCCGGCCAGATCTGACGCGGGGGCAAGTTTGTGGGTGTTTTCACTTCCCACACAGGGAAACCGAGGCACAGCTGCTTAGGGGTTTCCTGTGTTTCTTCCTGAGTTTGCGACCCCCCCGCCATTTAGGTAACCATCACCAGTTGGTGAGAGCATCCCCCCACCCCACCCTCTGCGAGGGAACGCTCACCCAGGCACATTTACGCTACAGTAACAAGAGATGCCAACAACACGCTTCGGATCAGTGTCAGTTAGTCAGAGCTTATCAGCTTCCAATGAGCCTGATAACTGTAGCAGCATTTGACTGTTAATCAAAACCGTGGGCTAGGAATAAAAACCTCACTTTACTTCCTCATCTGGACAAACAGGCTTAAGTGGAGTCTGAAGCTAAGGAACAAACAATGATTTCATGAGACTCCAATTCCCACACGGACCATGAATTCATAACCCACATCACATTCTCTTTCTTTTTAAAAAAATTTTTAACAGACTATCTTTTTGAGCAGTTTTAGCTTCACAGAAATTTGAACCGGAAGTACAGCACATTCCTTTTGAATAACCATTTACAATATATTTGGATTGATTTACCCAAACGTTTCAAGGCCTTAAAACTTTTCCATGTGAGAAGAGACTTTTTTGCCTTTCACTGAAACAGCTCTCTCCCTCTGGTGATCTAGAACTGCGCACAATTACTGTATCATTTAAAATTGCATCCTTACAGGCCTCTTGGCAAGTGGCCCTATGGAGCCCCTTCCACGCTGGGGTTCCAGGGGTTGTCCTAACAGGAATACACTTGTATTCCAGGTGTGGGTTTGCCTTTCCTGCCCGCAGGGCCTCAGCCTGACCCTCTCTCAGAGTTTCTCACTGCATGGGGTCCCTGCTAACACTCTTTGACGCAGGGCACTGCTTTATGGCAGCGGTGCCAGAGTGGACCCTTGACTGTGCAAGCTGGGGGCAGACGCTTTAAACCAGAGCCCTCGATATGGCACTGTATCCCCAGTGGGAAGAATCCATGGGTCCAGGAGTGGCAGCACCGCCGGTGGCTTCCTGTCCCTGTAGCTCTGGGCTCCGTGGGCTGGGGATGCCGGCCCCGATTCCCACTGACTAACTCTGGCCGCCCCCGGCATTCCGGTTCTGTGGGTCCAGGCGCCAGCGGGACCCAAAGGAGGGACTCCTAGGAACGGAATCAAGTGATTTTGCTGGCTGTCTGCGATCGTGACACGAACAGGGCCACCATCCCGGTCGCCGAAAGGACCCCTGGAGACGAAAGTTTGGGTCCTGCCACCCCCGGGCACAGCCACAACCCGGAGCGATTTTAGGGGCAGCCCTGAGCTGGCGCACGCATGCAGTGGGGCCCGGCCTCCTGGGCTGTCCCCGGGGGCTCGCGAAGCTTGACTCAACTGGCCACCGGCGCAGACTCCCCCCAGGGCGGCCTCAACCTCGCGGGAACGCGAACCGGCCTCCGCGCCAGTCCCAGCCGGGCCCGACGACCCACGTGCGCGGGGTCCTTCAAACCGACCAACCACAGAGAGCACCGAGGCTGCCGCGCCCCGCTCAATGGTCCTGCCCGAAGAGGCGGGAGCGTCTATGCGCCAATCGCAGGAACGGACGCAGGGGCGGAGCTCCGCCGGGCCGCGCCTCCTTGAGGGCACCTCCCTGAACGCGCGTGCGCGAGGGCAGGACCGCGGCCCCTGATTGGCCGCGGGCCGGGGGTGCACGCCCCGGGGCGGGGCCGAACGCGGGGCGGGCCCACGTCTGCGTGACAGTTGTCGCGGGGGGAGGGTGAGCCCAGGCAATGGGGAGGGAGTGTAAATAGAGCGAAGGCGGCAGCGCATCGGCCCCTTCACCTCCCGGCGACCTGCGAAGAGCCCTGGAGTAAGATGGAAGAAGATGAGCAAGAGCAGCGGCGCAGAAAAGTGGAGGCCGGGAGAGCGAAGGTAAACGGCAGCGCCTCCTCCCCTCGCTGTCCCGGCGTGGGCTCCACAGGGCGGGCTCCGGTGCTTGCCACCGCCCCCTGCCAGGAGCGGACGCGGCCAGGAGGGGACCGCTACCGCCGCACTCTTGCCCTTTCCGCCGACTGGGCTGGAAGCCGCCCCTTGGCCGCCGCCATCTTGAATCCGCCGCCCTCTGCTTGGGCCCGCCCCCGCCGTAACCACAGCCAATCAGCGGCCGGGGGCGCGCGGCGCTTCGCAGAGAGGTCGGGCGCGGGGTACGCCGGGACTGGCGGGGCTGCGCTTGCGCCGGGCAGGGGCGGGGCCGTGGGAGGTGGGCGTCCCGGCCCCTCCCCTCCCACCGGGACCCCCACCCCCCTACCCCAGCCCCGACCACCCGCGGGGAACTGCCAGAGGAGCCGGCGAGGCGGCTTCATTGAGAGACAGTGGTGTCCTCCGGACGCGGCGTCCCTGACGGCCGCCCGCTCCCGGAGCCCGAGGTGCGGGGACGGGCGCTGTCACCACACCTGCGCTCTTGTGCACACCTACTGGCACCTGCGCGTCTCCCTGTCCTCGCCCGGATTCCTGGAGGGCTTGGAGGCCGGGACTCCCTGCAGTTGGGCAACACGGGCGCTCCCCCTAGGGCTCAGCTCAGCTTCCATCCGGTTAAAACGACGTGCAGAGATCGTTTTACACGGAATTCTGCAGTTCTTTTTGCTATAGAAGTTCAGAGTGGTGTTCCCGAGCACGGGACTTGTTCACCCTGTGGAATGCCTCTCACCGACCCACGCCCTGGTGTCGGGGCTCCTGAAACGCCTGTGCCGCCTCCTCGCTGCTTGGGGCCCAGGTGGACAGTCCTGGGCAGGTGAGGGCGGAGGGCCTCTGCCGGGGCCGCGCCCCGCGCCGGGCTTGGGAGCTCCAGACGCCCGGACGGAGCCTCCTGGGAGGTGTCACGTCCCTGCGCTGCGGATGCCCCCGGGAGCTCTGTGCGGTCCCGGAGTGGGCCTTTGTCATCCACGTAGGCACCGTCCGGTACTCACTGTTCTGGGCGTGTTGTGGCCATTGAACCGTTTACCGACCAGACGCGGGCCCTAGAGACAGTGGAGAAAGCCTGGACGCATGTGCTGTGCCGCCCTGGCCCACCCCACTCCGGCTGTCGTGGGGAGCCGCTGTGCAGTGCCCGCGACTATTAGGCAGAGCCCTATGAGGTTGCTGTTTGAGGTCAGACGTGGTCAGACATTGGGAATTTCACATGGATCAGCCAGCAGGGGTGTTCAGTTCCGTGCTAGTTCCTTCCCTTGAGGAAACCACAGGGCCACTGCATTAAAGGGAACACTCAGAACACATGGTGAGTGGTGTGAGGTGGTGACAGGCAGAGGACAGAGTGGCCTCCTTGGGCTTCCTGTGCAGGTCAGACTTCCGACTGGGGTTTGAAGAGTGAGGCTGTAGTGTGTTTTTTCCCCTTTGCATGTGCCCGGCACGTAGGAAGGAGATTGGAAGCGAGCCAGAGTTTAATACTCACCGTTTTCCCTGAGCTCACCATGGTTTGTAAATGTGCCTAAATGTTGCTTGAAGGAGCATTAATGGTGATGAGAAGATTTCACCTTGGGAGAAGAAACAGATGCCTCTTCTTGGGTGACCACAGGCCAGAGACTGGGTCTGTGATGCAGGAAGGGATCTCACAGACGGTTAGATTTGATGGAGTTGGGCACAAAATAAACGAATCTGGGACTGGTTTTGAAGGCAGTGTCTGTTCTTGAGAGACGGTTTCTCTCACTTAAATTGCCTTTTGTGATTTTCCTATGTCCGTGAAATTGTGCACTTCTGTTATCATTTATACAAACATTTGTTAGATGCATTTGCTTTTATGACCAGAGTTGTCATTTGAAGGACCTTGTCCTCCTGTGAAAAGCTGACGTTAGCTATCCTACCTTTTGAATAAGGTGTTAGTGGGAGATGGTGTGTGAACAGTCTAAACCCTCAGATTTGTGGGACTGAACAGAGCCAGGTGTGCCTTCTGATGGGGACATTCTGCGGAGGTCCCTGGTGCTTTGGTGAGCTGCGTCATGAAAAATAGAACATCTGATTCCAAAAAGGAGGATGTTAGATTGACCTGGCTTAATTAATTTTTTGCTATTTCTGTACCTTGTCTCAGAATCTATGGCAAGGAAGTTTTGGCTAGGCTATGTATTTCCCTGATTGGGGAAAATGGGGCAAAAAGGGAGAATTTAGCTTTTCTATATAGTTTTAAACCTTAAACATGCCTGATTAAGCTGTCAGTTTTTAAAATAGATGTACTTTTTAATTTTTGAATTTTTCTGTAAACTGTCAGGGGCTGGGACAGCTGTTCTGCCCGTCAGCCTTATTGCTTTCCTTTGTCCGGAGGCATCATTAACAGTCCTTAATGTTAGATTCTTTGGGTGTCATTCTGAGCTTTAACTCCCAGTATCGTAGATGTTAATGGAGGTGGTGTTTCTGGGACGGGGCCTGGTTGATGTGAGTCTGGCCAGGTGTGGCTGTGTGGACTGAGCCAGCCCCAGAGCCTCATGTTCCCCACAAGCTTGCTGTCTTTGTGGTTCTGTTACTTTTTCCTCACTTACCTTTGTCTCTACTACCTCTCTACGTTTTTGCGCAGCTTGCTCACTTCCGACAGAGAAAAACAAAAGGTGACTGTGCGCATTCGAAGAAAACGCCGGCGAAGAGGAAGGGCGCGGCTGTCGATGCGCCTGACCAGGAGGAGAGTCCGGTAGCTGCGGCCGAGGCTGCCGGACTCCTGGGAGGCTGGGCCGTTGGCAAGAACGCGTCGTGCAGCGACACCCCTGATGGCGCAGGAGCCCCTCAGGTAGATTTGCTCGGCTCTGTGTTCTCACGTTTTGCTTATCTCCTGGTTATTGCTAGCGTAATTTACTAAAAGTGGTCTTAGGTCTGTTTTTGCCTATCAAAAGTGGGGAAAGGGGGTTTTATTTTATCTTGCAAGAGTGGCGTATATTTTTGTGGTTTCACTTCTAATTAAAGATTTTTCTGCACCCCATGATTTTGAGAAATTTGGGGCGAACTGTTTGAAGGCAGGGGTCAGTATTGGTGCTCTGTGTGGTAGCGGGAGTTTGACAAGTGTGGGTTCCTCGGGTGTGGCTGTGCATCAGCCCCCCTGACAGGTATCTTTGGACACTTAAGCCATAATATCCCTTCACCTGCTGTCAAATCCACCTGCTTGTTGGTCTTTGTCCTTTCCCTCCTTTCTGAATGTGGGGTGAGGAGGGCAGGGCTGAAGGTGTCACAGAAATGGTGTCTTGTCTGTTGCTTGAGGCCCTGTGAGCTGCAGGGGCGGGTGTGGACCTGGGTGTTGAGGGTGCATGGCCTCCCTGGGCCTCCTGGTTGCCTGCATGCGGGTCTCCTTGGGGCCTCCTCTCGTGTGTGCGCTTGAACTGGGGGTACCCCTAACTTGTGTGCATCAGGGCCGGGGCAGCTGTTTGCTAGAATGAGCTGAAAACTGGTGGTTGAGGGCAGAATTTGACTCCAAGTCATGCTGTGTCTGGACGGCCTTATTGCAAAAAAAGGAATGATTGCTAGCATATAAAGTTTATGATATTCTGCCTACAAATGTATTATAGAATGTTCCTTCTTTGGAAAAATTGGAAGACCTCGCCGTGGCGCTCCGACTTTGCCCGGGGAGCAGCTGCCCAGAACTCTGGTGCCTGAGTCTTTGGACCAGCCTGTGCCCAGCTCACTCTGCTTCCACTCCCTGTGGTCTGAGGGACCTGAGGCTGGATGTTAGTTTCGGTTCATGTTCGTGCTTTTGTTGCTTCTCTGGGGTTGAGCTGCGGGTCACAGCTGAGTCCACGGAAGCCACGTTGAGAGCGCTGAGCCCTGACTCTCAGTGGCTTTGCTCTGTATGCTTCCTGCTTAGGCTCTTTGAGGAGAAAGCCTCGCAATGTAAATCATCATTTATTAATTTCATATTTTTATTTTCAAATCAGACAAGTCTTTTTTATTTTAAGTTAAAGGTTTTGTGGTTTTTAGCTTTTCATTTTAAAATGTCAGACCCACAAAAAAATTGCAAAAAATAACACAGAGTTCCTGGAGATCCCTCACCTAGCTTCCTGAAATATTGACACCTATGTAATCATAGTATAAATCACATCAGTTTTAGTTAACATTGAAACAATACCGTGAGCTGATAGATAGAGCTTATTCTAATTTTTCCGATTTTTCTGGTCCAGGATCCTGTATTGCATTTCAGTGCCTTGTCACCTTAGTCTCCTCCAGTCTGGTCAGTTTCTCAGTCTTCCTTTGTGTTTTATAAGTTTGACACTTGTGGCGTACTAGCTAGTTATGTTGTAGGATCCCTGTCAGTTTGGGTTTGTTTGATGTTTCCTTCCGATTGAAGTCAGGTTGTGCATTTTGGCAGGAACACGGTGGAAGTGATGATGATGTCTGCTGAGTGCATCCTGAGAAGAAGCACAGGTGGTGTGGTGGTAGCTATGTCTCACTACTGGGGGGCCTGCCAGATTTCTGCTGACAGAAGTTTTTGTTTTCCCCTTTGTAGTTAATAAGTATATTATGAGGAGGTACTTAGAGACCCTGTAAATACTCCATTTCTCATGATACTTTCCATTAGTTTTAGCTTCTATTGAAGATTCTTGCCTGCAGTAATTACTGTGATGGTGTTGGCCAAATGATGACTTTGTTTCCATCATTCCATCTACATATATTAATTGGTGTTTTACTCTAAGGAGGAACTGTTGCTTCTCCGCAATTTATTTATTCAATTATTTATATCAGTATGGACTCCTAGATACTTATTTTATTATGGGTTTTAATCCATCATATCCATGTTTATTTTGTTGCTGAAATACATACATTTGGCCACTGGGAGTGCCTTTGAATTGGCATGTGACCTTTTAACATGCCCTCATCATTTTCTGGCGCCTTAATTCCTGGCACCAAGATTTTCTAGGCTTATTTTGCCCTTTGCTGCTGCAGCCCCAAACCAGCCATTTCTTCAAGGAGCCCTGGTTCATTTCGGTGGAGAATGGCTTTAGAATCCAGGATCTGGGCGCTAGGTGTGCTTATTGCTTGAGGGGTATGGCTGCTTCTAGGCTGTTTCAATAGACAGAGCCAGAAAGTATAAATGTGTGTATATACACGCACATCTATATCTATCTGTCTATTTGCATGTATAATCAAAACCATGCGTTCACGCTAATATCTTCAATTCCAATCCAACAGCACAGAATTTATTCTAGCTTTTCCCCTCTCCTTATTTTTAGCTCCTTTTTCCCATAGTGAGAAATTGGGGAAAAGGCTTATCTACAGTATCTTTACTTATTTGCTCAATCTTAAAATACGCACAAATTAATTTCAGAATTGCTACTTCTCATGCCAGTAAACACAGGTTTACTAACTATAGAATATTTGTTTACGCAGCCATCCCTCGCTTCTCGAAAGCTCGCTCTACACCACTTCACTCTTACAAAAGATCTACATTAGTCCCTGTTTTTGCTAACAGAAAGAAATTCAAAGAGGATTTTCAGTTTTATGAAGAAATCTAATTGCTTCTTTACCTTTATGCCATCTTGGTTTATGAAAGCTTTCATAGGAATGCTCTGTTTTTGGTAGTGGGGGAAACCTGTAGTTGTTTTTGTCTTTATTTTTCCAAAGTTTATTGTTTAGCATTCCCAGGTTATTTGTTAGATGTATGTACTTTGAATATTTTTCCTAGTCTTGCTTACCTTGCTTAAGTTGTTTTCTTAATGGTGTCTTGTGATAAGCCAATATTCTTAACTTTGATGTTGAATTTATCATTTTTTCCTATGGTTAGTGATTTCTGTGTCCTGTCCAAAAGGTCTCCCCTAGTCCTGAGGTTGTGAAGATAATCCCCAGTGTCTTCTTGAGGCTTGATGGCCTGGTTTCTATGTTTAAGTCTGTGATCCATCTCAAGTTACTTTTTGTGTATGGAGCACCGTGACTTTTAGAAGAATGGTTTAGTTTTGCTGGTTTTGAGTGTTTTATAAATAAAATAATCCGGTATGCATGTCCTGAGTCTGGGTCTTCTTATCCAGCATCCTTTAGGAGTTAAAAGCTATAGTTCTTTCATTTTCGTTGTTGTATAGTATTTTGCTGTATGGATGTACCTTGGTTTTTCTGTTCCGCTGTTGATTGGCATTTGCTATGAACATTCTCATACAAGTCTCTTGGTGTCTGTGTGAACACGTTTCTATGGGGCCGTAATTAGGTATTTAATGTCTGAGTCAGTATTTAGGTATACGTTCAACTTGTGTATGTTGAGCTGTGTTTTAAAACAGTTGTTCAGTTTATATTTTCAGTGGTGGCATATGAGTGTTTTCCTTGTTCCATAACATCTGTGATTGGTGTTAACATTTGTTTTCTATTTTAACAGTTTTGGTGGGTGTGGAGTGGAGTGTATTTTAGCGGAGTGCAAGCTTAGTCAAACATTCCAAAAAAATCAGTGTGATTCACTTAAGAGACTAAAGGAGAAAAGTCGTATGGTCTTCTCAGTTGATTTAGAAAAAGTGTGTTCTGCGAGAGAATGACCTGTAATTTTCCTCTCTTGTCAGGTTTTTGTGTTGAGGTTATGTTGGCCTCATGTGACGAGCTGAGAGGGTCCTTTGCTCTGTGGATGAGCTGGTGTAAGATGGTGGAGCTGTTGGGGACTGAAGCTTTCTTTGTGGAAAGACCTTTAATTGCAGAGTCAACTTACTGAACAGTTACCAGACTATTCAGTTGTGCTTTTTCTCAGAATGTGTCCTTCTAATCTTCCAGTTTGGGGTATGAAGTTATTCGTTGACGACCCTTTTCAGTTTTGTTTGTCCTTAGATATGTTTTTCGTCTGTTTGTTTGTTTTGGCCACACCCTGCGGCATGCGGAGTCTAGTTCCCCGGCCAGGGATGGAATCGCACCGCTGCAGTGGAAGCGCGGAGTCCTAACCACTGGACCATCAGGGAAGTCCCTGAATTGTCAGTTGAAAGCAGGCTACTGAGATGGCCTCTCCAGTCACTTAGAAAACTGGAGGGTGGATGAGTTCACTGTTCCTCGTCCTTCTAGGTGGTTCCCTCATTCTTCTGTTTCCTCATTATTTAAGGTGGTGTTGGCATGGTTGGGAATAATTGAGTGTGACAGAACAATCCTTAGGATGATGAAATAGCATCATGATATGGGAGAAGCAAGGTTGCTCAGATCCGTTTTGTGTCTTAGATAAATGCAGGGGTCTGGTAGTAATTGCAAGGTAAAATGTTTTACTCTAGAAAAAAAAAAGTAAATTTTCTCATTGTTCTTTGGAAGACCTGTAAGAAGGAATAAAATTATGCCAGTCCTCTCAAGCAGTTATAACTGACCAGTAAAGAAACTTGATAAGTGCAGTTAGGTCCAGCAGACGCTAACGCTCACCCTGACAGCGGCAGAGTGATGTGTTCGGGGCTGGAGGTGCAGGTGGATGTGGGGGTGGAAGCCGCCCGGGAGTCGCCAAGTTGTGCGCACCGAGCCTTCCTGCAGATAAAAGCCCCAATTCTTGTAAACTTAAGGGTCAAAACTATTGGGAGAAAATTCATTGGAAAGCTTTAAACTCAATTTTGAGGTGATTTACAAAAAGAAACAAAAATACTATTCTGCAAATTATTAAGGAAAAGATTTATCTAAAGGAAAATCTTTAAGATGAAATATTTGAATTTATATAAAATTAAGAGCTTAGAAAATATGTGTTGAGCAACTAAAGTTTAGTGATTTGTGTTAAGTACGCGGTGAAATAAAGAAGCAGAATTCGTTAAAAATCGGGCAGCGACATCATTAGGGAAGCAAGTTACATAAAAAATGTTTAGAGCGTGAGATTTGTGTAGAAGGAGAGTAGTGCAGATGGAACTGGTGGGCCTGGAGGCGGGCAGGGCCGGGGGTGGGGGGCGGCAGCGGCGGGCTACCCCTGGAGCCGCTGTGGATGCTCCTGGCCCTTCCCCTCCAGCTGCAGGAGCCCGGTGGAGCGGGGACGCCGCAGAAGCTGGAAGACGATGGTCCGGAGCAGCCTAGGGTGATGACGAAGGTATGCCTCTCCTGAGTTCTCGTTTAAGGTGTGTCCCGGTTGGGGACGCCTCCCTTACGTGCGTGGGGGCCGGAGCCAACTGAGGAAGCTGGAGGCGGTCTTCCTGTGACCTTTGATCTTGGTGGTGGGCGTGGAAGGGAGAGTCGCCCTTCCTTCACTGAGGGTCCTGTGGGGTCAGCGTGCCTCCTGGACCTGGCCCTCGATGCCCATGCCCATGTGGGCAGCCCTGCACGCGAGACACACTGGGGGACGGGCTTGCCGGCTGGGCTCTGGTCTTACCATCCCAGTTCGTACCACAGTGCTTGGTGTGACTTCCATGAGTGTTGAATTGATTACTTTTCTTTAATCCATTCATTTTTTTCGCGGTATGCGGGCCTCTCACTGCTGTGGCCTCTCCCGTTGCGGACCACAGGCTCCAGACGCGCAGGCTCAGTGGCCATGGCTCACGGGCCCAGCCGCTGCGCGGCATGTGGGATCTTCCCGGACCGGGGCACGAACTCGTGTCCCCTGCATCGGCAGGTGGACTCTCAACCACTGTGCCACCAGGGAAGCCCGCAAGTTTGGTTTTTCGTCTGCATTATTGCAGGAGAAATGTAGCTCAGAGGAGGGCCTGGCAGAGCCTGGAGAAATGGTCTCCAGTGGGGTCCGTAAAACCCAGCCTTAAATACACATTTCATACTTGTTTTAACTGCGACTTGTAGCATCTTTGTGGAAAAGTACACAAAACTTAGATATAGCCCAACAGATGAGTACACCGTGAACAGCACGTGGTCTCTACAATTCAGGGGCAGGGCGGTGCTGGACCCTGCTCCCTGCTGCCCACCCTGAAGCGAGCACCCTCCTGGCTTCTGTGCCGATTCTGACGTAGAGCTTTGTGTGAATGGATCAGACGTGGTTCTGGTCTTCTCTCTCCTTTACCTTCAGCATCTTTGCATCCTTCTATTTGAGATGTGTGCCTGGTGAGCAGCATAGGGTTGATTTTTAACTGAGTCTCACAGTTACTGGGCAGTGATTCCCTTATATCAAATGTAATCGCTGATGCGCTTGTACTTACATCAGACGTTTGATTGGGCTTTCTATTTGTCCTGCCTGTTTTGTTTCTTTCTTTTCTCCTTTTTGCCTTCTTTGGATTATTTTTTATCAGGGGATTAAAAAAAAATTCTGCCTTTGTTCATTTTGAAGTAATAATATACAGTTTCTATTCTTTTAATGGTGAGGTTATTAAATACAACATATATACTTATCTAATCTAAATTTAATCAACAGCTTCACCTTCCTCTTGCATAGTAGTTACTGAAACTCCATTTATACTTCCCTCAACCTCCGTTTTGGTCACAGTCTTTTTCTTAAGTGTAAAGCGCTCATAAATTTTACCATCTTAACCATTTTAGGTGCACAGTTCATTGGTGTTTGTACATTCACACTGTTTTGCAACCGTCAGCACCATCCGTCTCCAGAACTCTTCTCATCTTGTCAACCTGAAACCCTGTCTGCTAAGCGACGTCCCCCAGCCCCTGGCAGCCGCCATTCTACCTTCTGTCTCTGTGACTTGGCGATCCTACATGCTTCACGGCAGTGGGGCAGTGCAATCGTGTAGTTGTCTCTTGGGCCTGGCTTATCTCACTGCACTTGGTGTCCTCCAGGAGCTGGAGCTGGAAGTGCTGCGCCTGAGCCTGAGCGACATGCACACGGCGCGGCTGGAGCTGACGCAGGCGCACCTGCAGCGCGAGAAGGAGGCGGCGCTGGCCGAGCTGCGTGCCGAGCTCACCGGGCGGCACGCGCAGGAGCGGGCCCTGCTGCAGAGCCGCGCGTGCAGGGAGCTGGAGCTGGTCCGGGAGGAGGCAGGTACGCTCGGCGCCCGGCCCGCGGGTGTCGTCGGAGGCGCCTGTCTTCTGAGCTGTGCTTGGGCCTCTGTGTGCGACCAGGCCTCGTGGAGCCCGCCCCCGCCCCCGTCCCCCCCTGCGCCCTGTGCCAGGTGGCGGCTCAGGTGCCTCTCAATCTGGCGATGTGCTGGCCTCAAGGTGAACTTATATGATTTCATTTTAATGTTTCTTGGTATATCTTTTGTTAGTACTTTTTTTTTTTTCTTTGTGGTACGCGGGCCTCTCAGTGTTGTGGCCTCTCCCGCTGCGGAGCACAGGCTCTGGACGCGCAGGCTCAGTGGCCATGGCTCACGGGCCCAGCCGCTCCGCGGCGTGTGGGATCCTCCTAGACCGGGGCACGAACCCATGTCCCCTGCATGGGCAGGTGGACTCTCAACCACTGCGCCACCAGGGAAGCCCTGTTAGTACTTTTTGTAAAAATCATACGTAGTAGTTTTATTGAGCTGTAATTCATGTACCACACGATTCACCCACTTAAAGTGTTTAAAGGCAGCACTTTGGTGGCTTTTCGTGTTTTCATGCTTAGAACGTTCTTCCCCCGGAGGAAACCCTGGCCCATTTCCCTGTGATCTGCCCCGGTTGCAGAGTCTGCCTCTCCTGGGGGCCCACCCACCTGGAGGAGCAGCCTTGTCGGTCCTTTGATGCCTTGCCTGTTTCTTCACCTAGATTCAGGCAAACACAAGGAGATAGTTCCACATCCTCCCCTGCTTTTGTTAAATTTTAAAAATACGAAATATGCCTTCCTTTGTTAGGCCTGTTTGATGCTGTTTCCTCCATGTGCACCCCTGGGAACGGTCCCCCGAGAGGCCCACCCTGCCGTCGGGTCCCTGAAGCTCTGCTGCAGGTGGGGCCCCTGTGGACCCGGCGGGACCTGCCCTCGGAGGCTGGCTTCTGGGCCTTTGCGTGATTTCTGGAGTTGTCCAGGCCGCCTTCCCCGCACCCAGGGCTTGCTTGCTGTCGCCTGGTGCTATTCCTCCCCAGCCCCACGCTTGGCCGCGCCCACTGGTCCAGCCTCCTCTGCCTAGCACCTCCTTTCTTGTGCTTCTTCTCTCAGGCGGGGAGCTGTTGGGACCTAGAACGTCTTTACCTCTCTCCATTTACTTGTGGTCCAGCACCCAGCCTGGAAGCTGGCTCAGTGGGATCCTGGACTATGGGGCTCTGGGTGCACAGTGGCCTAGTGTGGAGTGGACGGGCCGAGGTCCCCGTAAGCAGAAGGATGATGCAGGCTCAGCGCTCAGTGATCTGTGCAGCCCCAGAGTTGGCCTCGCCCGGTCCTCCTGGACTGTCGCTCTGGCTGGACGTCACCTGTCCTTTGTCAGGCATGAGTGTGATTTGCTAATTAACCCAGACATCATCACCTGCTTGTTTCTCACAGATGTGTTCTGTCCTGTTAATGTCGGCAAGTGTTCGGTGGAGCGGCCAGAGGTGCCGGGAGCCTTCTCGTTTCCTGGGGGATCAGATTGTGGAAAAGTCTGAGCTGCGGTGATCTGAGCGACTTTTTATGTTTCTCTTGCAGCTGACCTGAAGGAGAAGCTACAATCAGAAATGGAGAAAAATGCCCAGATGATAGAGGTACACAGGATAAGAAAATTCATTCCGTGTACGCGGTATTTCCCTCATCCCCACCCGGGACCCCTCCCCTTGATTCTAACAAAATGCAGTCAGAGCTGGAGTCGCGGGGGTGAAGCATGGTGCACTGCTTTCTCTGCACAATGTGAATTCATCACAGCAGCTGGTTGTGGGCTTTTGTGTTGCCTGGTGTGATGCGAGTCTCTTTCCTCCCATCTGGTTCTGAGCAGCCCTGTGGCGCGGCCCTGGCTGTGCTTGGGACACAGACCTTGGTCCTCACGGACGGGAGATGTGGACGCCACAGAGGTGGTGATCAAGTGACGTGTACGGGCCTCGGGGAACCACGGGGGGTGGGGGGTGGGACGAGCGTGACTCTTGCCACCCATCCCTTTCTCAAGGCTACGCTTGTAGAAGGGCCGTTGGCGCTGGTGATGGCCGAGGAAGTGTGTAGTGTTAGGGGATGTGTGACGTCAGACCGAGGGGAGCCGTGTGCCCTGGCCACTCTGGACAGGCGGTGGGTGGAGGATGGCCTTGTGCCCCAGCCCCTGCCCTCTGAGCTGGACAGAGGGGACTCGTTTCTTAGGGCGCCTGGGACAGCGCCTGACCCCGTCAGAGCTCGACGGTGTCGCTGTAGTGCCCGGGTCTTGCGTGGGGGAACGGATGCCTGTCTTGCCGGCCGAATTCCTGTGCTTTTGCTGAGCGACCAGTTCTGTTTCTGGCAGGTGGTCCTGGTTCTCGTGTCCTGGGCTGTTTGCCTGCAGGTGCTGCTGTTCCTGTGTGACTGGACGTCCCGAGCTGTGTCCTGTACTCGCAGTCTGGTCTGGGCGGGGGTGACGGTTTTCGAATGCGCAGTTGAAATTTTTTTACCGCAGTAATAAACTATTGGCCATCATCTACTTTCTCCTTATTTAAATTAGACCCTGAAGCAAGACTGGGAATCCGAGAGAGACTTGAGCTTAGAAAACCTACGCCGAGAATTATCGGAAAGGCATCGGTCAGAACTGGAGAATTTACAAAACCAGTTTAAGAAAGAATTGGCAGAACAGAAGGCTGAGTTGGAGAAGGTTTTTCAAGACAAAAATCAGGCTGAATGTGAGTCTCTCATTAAAATGAGCAAGTTTGGAAGGGGACTGAGTTTTCGTGTGTCGTCCCAGAAACAGTGCCGTGTGATTGGCTGGCAGGAGAGTCAGCCGTGGGGTCCCTCCTCGTTGGTCACAGGCATCTCAGGTTCCCTAAACCTTCTGAAACCTTCATTTCAGAGAAATCTTTTGCAGACAAACAAAATCTTTTGTTCTTCTACTAAATTGCTACTGAAAAAGTAGTTTGTGATTGTTCTCTTTCTGTTACACGGTGGGGCCCAGCGGTCAGTAGATGCTGTCTGCTGGCCTGTGGCTTCCCTTCCCTTCCTCCCCGAAGAGAGCACGGTCCTGAGAACGGGGTCTGGAAGAGCCTGGGGGGCCTGCTGTGCCTGCAGCCGCCCCTGCTGAGGAGGAGGACGCTGTGCCGTCACAAGCTGAGTGAGGCCTGTGCCCCCCTCCAGTTTCCCTTCAGACTCAGGAGGCTCAGCATGAGGCGGCCCTGAGCAAGTTACGCGCGGACCTGCAGTTGGAACACTGCCAGTACGTGGAAGACCTGGAGCTGAAATTCAGAGAAAAGGAAAAGGAAAAGCAGCTTGAGGTAGAGGCCTTGTATGAGGGGGCTGGGGGAGATCTCGGATTGGGGTCCTTTCACGCTCTGTTGTTGCCTAAAGCTTAAGCCCTAATACGTGTATGTTTGTGTTTATTTCTAAATGGAGGTATAGTTCATGTACAGTACTGTGTACGTTTTAGATGGACAACATAGTGATTCACAATTTTTAAAGATTGTACTTCATTATAAAACATTGGCTGTATTCCCTGTGCCGTACAGTGTATTCTTGTAGCTTATTTTATACACGGTAGTTTGTACCTGTTAATTTCCTACCCCTAACTCGCCTCTCTCCCCATCCGTCTCCCCAGTGGTAACCACTAGTTTGTTCTTTATGACTGTGACTTTTTCTGTTTTGTGTACACGTTCATTTGTTCTGTTGTTCAGAGTCCACATATAAGTGATATCATACGGTATTTGTCTTTCTCTGACTTACTTCACTTAGTGTGACAGTCTCCAGGCCTAGCCATGCTGCTGCAGATGGCAGCAGTCCTCTTCTGTGACTGAGTCGTGTTCCATTGCACATATGCACCGTGTCTTCTTTATCCGTTCGTCTGTCAGTGGATGCTTAGCTTGCTTCCTGTCTTGGCAGTTGTAATAGTGCTGCTATGAGCATTGGCTGCATGTATCTTTGCAAATTAGTGTTTTCATTTTTTCAGATATATACCCAGGAGTGGGGTTGCTGGGTCATATGGTAGTTGTATTTTTAGTTTTTGAGGGACCTCCATACTTTAAGCCCCCCTTTAAAGAGACCCTCAGTATTTGGTGGAGCTGGTAGGGAGCCATGTCAGCACATAGAGTCTGTGACTTTGACTTAATGATGGTGTTCAGTCCTACACCTGGAGAATTCGTGCCCTTGACGAGTGCCCCTGGGATGTCTACAGGCTCCAGCCATTAGGGGTGCAAGGGCACATGCTCTGACCTTGACTCAATAAACAAGAAGTTAGCAAGAAACATTTCTGTGGCTCACGTATTCAGAACTCTTTTCCATTGGAACTTTACATACCGAAATGTGGGTGATGTGGCCAGATCTCACTCAGGGACCTGAAGGGCCTTCATCACCAAGACCAAGAGTCAGGCAATGCCCCAAGCACTGGTTCAAGGAATTAGAAAGGAAATAACTGGAAGACGGAGTTAGCCGAGGCCCGTGTGTGGGTTTGCAGGGAGGAGAGTCGTGGAGCCCAGGAGGAGCCGCGTCTGCGGCTCTCGCACCTGCTTCTCCCCGCTCTCCTCCAGACACAGGCCAGCTTGGCTGGGCAGGACCAGGGCCAGGCGGGGCCCTGCGGGCTGTCCCTCATCCAGGGAGAGAGGCGGCCGGAGGTCACCTTCTGCCCTGTGCCCTGGGTGAGGAGAGGCCCGTTCCACACGGCAGCAGAGCAGCCGCAGGCCAGCGCCACCCACGCTCCCCCGGAAGCGCTCGGCCCTGTGCTTGTGACTTGGGGTGCCGGGTGGCCACCCTGACCCAGGCCCCGGGAGGGCAGGTGGAGCCACTCTCAGCTCCGGCGGTGCAGGGCCGGCTGGCACTCGGCACACACTTGGTGTGCAAGCTCTGTTCATCCCTGAAAGAGTTGCTTCCCGGGAAGGTTGAGCAGGGAACGTGGAGAAAACCACACAGGCCACACGAGGGTGAGGGAGCCCGTGGTCACAGATGGAGGGGGCCCATCCACCCTCCCTGACAAAGTAGGGGGACAGGTCTCTGCTGGGAACGAGGCCGAGGCCTGGGAGGCGTCCACATGAGAGGCCGCGGTGGCCGCGGGTTCCTCTGGTCCGCTCTCGGGGCCGCCTGGAGGTGGGTGCGCTTGAGCTGAGACTGCGCGTGTTCACCTGGTGCCCATCGGGTGCTGCACGGGTATCACCAGCACTGCCTCGGGCCCGGGTCTTGGTCGGGCTCCCACACCATCGCCTTCTCTTCCAGTTGGAGAACCTGCGCGCCTCGTACACGGAGCTGCAGGCCCAGTCACAGGAGGAGATCCGGCGCCTGGGGGCCCAGCTGGAGTCTGCAAGGTCCAGCAGGCAGGAGCCGAGTGGTGAGGAGCCTCGCGTTCAGAATCCAGGTTCCCAGCGGCTAGGGCTGAGCTCCCCCTGCTGAAGCCCCGAGCTAGGACCTAACGGTTTTGCAGGCCCAAGAAGGTGGCTTAGTAAACTTCTGTGAATTTTGAGGTCTGCGGCTTCACGGTGCAGAGCTGCTGGTGGCAGCCTTGGCTTCCTCGTAGGCGCGTTGGTGAGCAATGACTCTGGCAGCCGGTGTCCTCGTGTGGACACGCACCGTTCACGTGTGCGACTGGGCTCACGCTGGGGCTTGGTTGAGCGCTGTCGAAACGCAGTTCTCAGTGGGCATTTGGGTCGTGGGTGTACACTGCCTCCTGGGTCCTGTGAGCTCACCTGCGTCAGGTGTCGTCAGGCTCCTGGGGCCCTGAGCTCTGGTTTGGGAGGGTGATGCCACGTTTACTGAGGGCAGCTCACCTGGGTCTCCCCCTCACAAGACCCCAAGTCAGAGGGGTCTCTGCTCGCCGGTGGCACCTTCAGAGGGAGGAGGTCACAAGACACGGGGCAGAGAGATGTGGGTTTGTCTCTCCAGACAGGCCTGGAACTGCAGGGTCTGCCCTTGTGCGTACATGTTACTGAGGAGCAAAGAGCAGAGTTACGAGAAGGGACCCGCAGTAACACCTGACGGTCTGGGTGGGTGGATAGGCCTCCCGTCCCCGCCCCAGCCAGGCTCCGGGCAGCCGCAGGCGGAGCTGGCGGACGGACCTGTGGCTGGGCTTCAGGCTCTCACACACGGTTTCAGTTAGTGCGCCTTCCACTGCACCCTCCCCCGTGCGTTTAAGGACCCTCATGGGGAACGTTGATTTGGGACAGTGACCTGTTTCCATCCCTGTTACTTGAAAGCTAATAACTAGCTCTGGTGGACTGGCTGGCAGCACCCTCTGGGTCAGAACTGTGAGGCTGACAGTTCTCTTACGGTCTGCATTACTGTTCTGTTGCCGTTAACAAAATACCACCAACTCAGCAGCCTGAAACCACCCAGGGTCACCCACAGCTGAAGTCCAGATGTTGGGCTGGGCCTTGGCCCGGCTCCCTCGGTCGGCAGGGTCCCGTCCCTGTGCTTGTAGGACCGAGGTCCCATTTCCTTGCTGGCTGTCGGCCCAGGGGCTGCCCCCGTTCCTTGCCACGCGGCCCTCTCGTCTTCAGGGCCCCCACAACGCGTGGAGTGCTTCTCACACTTCCAATCCGCCTGACGTCTGTGCCGGCCTGAGAAAGTTCTCTGCCCTCAGGGCTCTGGGGTTTACTGAGGCCGCCTGGGTCGTCTCCCTGTGCGAGGCCCCCTGTGCCACGTAGCATAAGCCCTGGAGGGTCCATTCACGGGTTCTGGGATGGGGGGACCTTTTACAGTTCTGCCCCCAGCACCACACTGCAGGCTCTTAACTAGCTTCTGATTTCCCCTAAGTGTTTCATTTTGAGATGATGGCTTACTTTCATCCTGTAAAGAGTTACCCGAGCAGCTCCTGGCCCGAGCGTCTCACGTGGAGGGGCTAGAATACCTGACGCAGGCCTTAGAGCAGCAGCAGCAGGAGAGAACCAGGCACGAGGCTCAACTGGAACAGCTGAGAATCTCTTCTGAAGAGAAGTTGAGGGAGGCTGAGAGGGGCCACCAGGAGGACCTGACCCTGTTACAGCAGCAGCTGCAGGGCGGGAAGGACAGCTCCCCGCCGGAGGCTGTGGGAATCAGGTAAAGCAGCGCAGGAGAACACGTTTATGATTGGGTCTAGACAAGATGACATTAAAGCTGGGCACCGGTCTGACCCGCGCGCAGGCTGCGGACGGCGCGGTGCTGCCGGGGTGGGTGGGCGCCAGCCCCGCTGCGCCCCCCTGCCGGCGGTCATCCTGTCCTCGGCACAGAAGCGGGATCCCAGGGACAGCGGAGTTCGGTGGAGGGGCACCTGTGTCGGGTCGTTACAGCACAGTTTCTCAATTCATCCAGTGCCTGTTCAGAAGAGACGCCTGAAGAAGAAGGAAGAGACCGTCTTGATCAACTTGGCCTTCAGCTGGAGCAGCACGAGGTGATGGGACACCGTTGTTTTGTTTTGATGTCTAGCTGCCACAGGACATTATGACATGATGACTGGATGCCTGGGTGTGCTGTGAAGGGTCAGTCTGGGTAACGTCCACCACCACACAGAGGTAGAGTTTTTTCCTTGCGCTGAGAACTTTTAAGACCCACTCTCTTAGCAGCCTGTAGAGACACAATACAGCATTGTTAACTGTATGTAGTCCTGTGCTCTACACGACACCCCAGGACTTTTTATCCTCAAACTAGAAGTGTGCATCTTTTGACCCTTTCATCCATTTTGCCCACAGCCCCTCTCCCACCTCTGGCAACCACCAGTCTGTTCTCCATGAGGCGGGTTTTTTAGATTCCACATAGAAGTGAGATCAGACAGTATTTGTCTTTCTCAATCTGACTTATTTCACTTAGCATAACACCCTCAAGGTCCATCCATGTTGTCACAAATAGCAAGCTTTCCTTCTTTTTTATGGCTGAGTACTGTTTCTGTTGTGTGTATGTACGTACGTGTGTATGTGCCACATTTTCTTTATCCATCCATCTGCTGGTGGACATTTAGGTTGCTTCCATATCTTGACTGTTGTAAATAGGGTCTGCTTTGAACGTTGGGGTGCGTGTGTCTTTTCCAATTAGTGTTTTTGTTTTCTTTGGTTAAATACCCAGGAGTGGAATTGCTGGATCATATGGTAGTTCTTTTTTTTTAAACATCTTTATTGGAGTATAATTGCTTTACAATGCTCTGTTACTTTCTGCTGTGTAACAAAGTGAATCAGCTATATGTATATGTATACATCCCCACATCCCCTCCCTCTTGCGTCTCCCTCCCTCCCACCCTCCCTATCCCACCCCTCTAGGTGGTCACAAAGCACCGAGCTGATCTCCCTGTGTCATGCAGCTGCTTCCCACTAGCTATTTTATGTTTGGTAGTGCATATATGTCAATGCCACTCTCTCACTTCATCCCAGCTTACCCTTCCCCCTCTCCATGTTCTCAAGTCCATTCTCTAGTAGGTCTGTGTCTTTATTCCTGTCCTGCCCCTAGGTTCTTCAGAACCATTTTTTTTTTTGATTCCATATGTATGTGTTAGCATATGGTGTTTGTTTTTCTGACTTCACTCTGTATGACAGTCTCTAGGTCCACCCACCTCTCTGCAAATAACTCAATTTCGTTTGTTTTTATGGCTGAGTAATATTCCATTGTATATATGTGCCACATCTTCTTTATCCATTCATCTGTCGATGGACACTTAGGTTGCTTCCACATCCTGGCTATTGTAAATAGAGCTGCAGTGAACATTGTGGTATATGACTCTTTTCGAATTATGGTTTCCTCAGGGTATATGCCCAGTAGTGGGATTGCTGGGTCATATGGTAGTTCTATTTTTAGTTTTTTAAGGAACCTCCATACTGTTCTCCATAGTGGCTCTATCAGTTTACATTCCCACCAGCAGTGCAAGAGGGTTTCTTTCTCTCCATACCCTCTCCAGCATTTTTTGATGATGTTCTATTTTTAATTTTTTGAGGAACCTCCATACGGTTCTCCATAGCGGCTGCACCAGTTTACTTTCCCACCAACAGTGCACGAGGGTTCCCTTCTCTCCACATCCTAGCCAACCTTTGTTATTTGTTGGTTTTTTAATAATAGCTATTCTGACAGGTGTGAGGGGGTGTCTCATGGTTTTGATTTGCATTTCTCTGAGGATTAGTGATGTTAAGCATCTTTTCATGTGCCTGTTGGCCATCTGTGTGGTCTTCTTTGGAAAAGTATCTGTTCCGGTCTTCTGCCTGTTTTTTATTTAATCAGGTGTTTTTTTTTGTTTGTTTGTTTGTTTTTTTTGCTGTTGAGGTATATGAGCGTCTCCATAAACATTGAGAAAGGTTGTATTTCATTAATCTTTAGTTGGGAACTGGACTGTCTTTATGTTTTCAAATCTGAATTTCCATCCTTTTCACAAAAGCTTCCTTCTGTGCCACTGACAAGCAGAGGGAGGCTTGCTTTTGTGTCTCTGGTGCCTCCACAGGCTGCATTGTGTCTGCTTGTTTAAAACAACAACCCGAGGTTCATGGCATGACTTGGAGGCGGGTGGCTGGCAGGTCGGGTCCTGCCTGCATCCCATGCAGGCGCGGTCACACTGCTGCTCTCCACGAGCGCCCCAACCGCCTGCGTCGTGCGTGTTGATGACCGGAGAGTGAAGCGCTGGGGCGAGTGCGTGCTGGGCATCTTTTTATTGGCCTTTACGTTTCTCTTCGTTGAACGGCCTCCATGCCGTTTGTTTCTGGCATCTCTAACCTTTGTGGGCAGCGGTATTCACACGGCTCTCTGTGACAGTGGAAGCCTCTGCGCCTGTTCTGATGCGGAGCTCCGAGGAGCCAGTGGCTCCCCTGTCCTCCTGCCCCCGGCACTGGCGGTGGAGGTGCCGTGCTGTCAGCATGGCTGGGCCCCCGGCCGCGCTGCAGGGAGTCCTGAGATGGCAGCTTGTGTCCACTTTTCGCACCAGGAACAGGCAGGGCCTTGACTCTGTCCCCACTTCTGGGAAGTCTTGAGCGGCCGTTCGGACAGCTGTTCCTCCGTGTGGTTTGTTCTCTCTCTGACGCTCCCGCGAGCTTCATGCTGCACCTCCAGGCTGGAAGCACCGGTCTCCTTCAATTCTCATTTCTCTTTTTATGTTGCTTTAGGCTTTGTTTTGGGGGGGGAGATTTTTTTCTCCCCTCTCCTCTAATTCTGCAGTTGGCTATCTTATTTCCATTGTCATTGTTAATTTCTGGGGCTTTGCCTTCTTGTTCTGTGTTCTTTCCTGTGTCCTCTGCTCAGTGTCAGGGACGGGGTGTCTTTGGTCTCCTCCCCGAAGGCGGCCGTTGGTGTTAAGAGGCCTCTTGAGGCTCCGTGTAGTTCCTGCCGCGTCTCCGTGCGTCTGCGTCTCTGTGTTGTGTGGGGCGTCTGTGGTCCGTGCATTGGTTGGTGACCTGAGGCTGTGCCGTCACGAAGCGTGAGGCACCGTGGGGTCTTGGGGGGCTGTCTGACCAGGCAGGCTCCACCTGGGGGCTGGGGTGGTGGCCTCCCCTCCTGGGGCCATTGGTCTCTACCAGCCTTCTGCTGGGCTCCCTGAGAAGAGGGGCACAGTGGGGTCCCCACTCCAGTCTCCCTGGTCCACAGCCCCTGGGGGTCGTGCAGTCACCTCTGTGCCCCCTGTACCCGCTTCCCAGCCTCCCGGGTGTCTGGGCAGCTCTCAAGCGGCTCCCCGTTCAACCCCTGTGAGCATCTGTGATTCCCGTCTTCCAGCAGTTGGTCACCTTTGGCTTACTGATTACCTCTTTCGCTGTTTCTTCTCCTCATAGGTTTTATGAATTAAATTATGTCTCCTATCATCTGAGGGAATATAAAAACAATAAAGTGTACGTGTGTTTAAGCAGAAGTCCCGTGTGTGGGCGCGTGTGTGGCGCATGGCATGTGCGGTGTGTGCGCGTGCGTTGTGTATATTTGGCGTGTTGACGCGCCATGTTGACTGAGGGTGCCTGGTGGAGCTCCCCCAGCTGGGTTTGGGAACCCCCATGCCCCTCTGGTCGGCGCCGACCCCTGGCCAGTGTCTCTCTGGCTGCAACTGTTTGGTTGTCCCTGAGGCTGAATGTCTTTTGACTTGTTTGGCCGTCGTGGCCATGTTTCTGCCCTTTCCTCAGGGGCTGGGAGCCCCTTGCTCTCGGCTCCCGTCCCGTCCCCAGTCTCCAGGCACAGCAGTATTTCGCTGTATTTTATCTTTGCTTTTGTCGTCTGTAACTGGCTGTTGCCTGGTGGGGGGTGAGACTCTGGCCCCCTTTTCTTTCCCGGGATGGTGAGTCGCTCTCGTCCGACTTGCTGGGAAGCCTGACCCTTGTGAGCCAAGTTGTGTCGGGAGCGCTCGAGTCCACCCGTCAGTCAAGTTGTTTTCTCCCGTGACCATATGAGGACTCCAGTCTTGACTTAAAAGATAACTCAAGCTTATTGAGAGCTGGACATTTAGGCTGCCGTGGCCTCTCTGTGATTTTGAGGAAGATGGGGTGACTGGTTGCATCTTGAGGGCACAGGAAACGTTGACACTGCCTTGAGCCCCTCTCGGACCCTGCACTCCAGAGCGTCGTCCTCGGGGGGCAGGCCCAGCACCCGGCTCTGGATGGAAGCGCAGGGCAGGGCGTGAGGAGAAACCCGGGAGCCGCAGGTGGAGCAGGGTGCCTTGCACCAAGGCCCTGGCCGTGTGGCTGGTCCCGGAGGCCTGGCCCGGGGTGCGGAGGGCGAGGGACGGGGGTCCGGTGGGGGACCCAGTGCCCACAGCTTGGCATCGGTGGAGTAGGCCCACCTCCCTGCTGGAAGCGAGACATGGGGCAGCAGGCGGCGTGGCCATGCGTGGCGAGGCTCCGTGGGAGGTTCCGTGGGGGTGGGTCCCCTGGGGGGTTCCCTGGGAGGCAGGGATTCAGGAACGAGGCTGAGAGAGTCATTAGAAGGTTTTCTCTGTGATTTCCCAAAGGAGAGCCTGGGGTTGCGCACACAGCTAGAAGGAAACCACCAGCGCCAACTAGCAGCGGGGAAGTCCTCCCAGGAAGTCCAGCAGGAGGCGGGCCTCGCAGGGACCCAGGTGTTGGAAGAGGAGCAGCATGTGTGGCCTTCGGAAGAGCCCGGCCCAGGTGTGTGCCTTCAGTGCCGCTGGGTCGCCAGGAGTCTGGCCTGCAGGGGACGTTCTGGGCGGTGACTGATTCCCACGAGAGCCACCTGCACACGCTGGCCATTCTCTTTGCAGTGTGGGCGCCGCGGGCCCTTCCTCAGGGGTTGAGCAGGCCTGGGCGTGTCAGGAGAGGGCCTGCCCGGGGTCACGGGGACGGAGAAGCTGTGGTCGTCCCCGGGGATGGTCAGGGACTCAGGAGAGCAGACGTAAGGCCGGCCCTGGACACAAGCCCAGGAGAGGGTGGGTCCCACGTAGAGCTGAGGGGGCAAGGCAGAGGGTCCCGCCGTGAGGGCCGGCAGCTCAGGGTCCCCGCCAGGGGAAGAATGCGGCCCAGAGAGCTGGGTCACGCCTGCTGGCGTCTTGCCCTCCCTGTTCTCCTTCCTGTGTGAGGGGTGCCCCACGGCCGCTGCTCAGCACATTCCTGCCAACCAGTGCCTTGGCCACGCTTGGCTCTTCATCGAGCCTGGGACGGTGATGGGCTCTGGCCAGAGGAGCTTTGGGGGTGCCAGGTCCCCCGGCACCCAGGCGGAAGGAGGTGTGGGCCGCTCAGCACGGGCCTGCTCGTCTGGGCCTGGGGCTCGGTGACCGCTTGGCTGACGATGGGTGTGTCATGTCCACTTCTGACACCAAGCCCGCACGGGGAGTCTCAGGATCTTCGTGCAGGTCTGAGGCTTCTGAAGGTCGGTGTCTAGTCTGAGTTGCAGGTCAGCCTGACGGTCCTGCCCCCTGGTCCCCTGCAGAGCTCTCCCGGGTGCCCCTCCTGTGTGCACACAGCACGGCCTTGGAGGTGGCAGCCGGAGACTTGGGTCTGGAAACCATGCACAAGGCTCATCTCCTGCTTCTTCTGACGGAGCTCAAGGAAGAAATCGACCTCTTAAAAGTAGAAAATAGAAATTTACACGAGAAATTGCAGCACGAAATCCGCCTAAAAGAGGACTTGGAGCAAGTAAGTTGAAACACCTCACCACTCTGCACTTCCCGCGCCCACCGGGGCCCCGTGTTAAGCGGTCGGGGTCAGCGCAAGCCCCCGAGGTCCACCACGCCCTCCATCGGGAGCAGTGTTTGCTTGCTGGGTGCCTTCCTCGGGGTCGGGATGGGATGCCACCTGAGCTGGGGCCCGAGTGTGCTCCTTACAGGGGCCTCCAGTGCTCAGGGCAACTGGCCGGGGTCCTCCGAGGGGTCCCTTGTAGAACCTGGAACGTTCATTGTGCAAGTCCAGAGACCTGGCCTGGCGCTGTTGGCTGCTCTCCTGTGGCTCCGTCCTGGCTGGTGGTGGTTCCTCTGTCTGGGGGGTTGGCCTTCCCTTGACGGAGGCCCCGTACATGTCTGATCCCCTGGGCTGGTCTTGGCACCGCAGAGGAGCTCCCCTTTGCGTGTGTGTCCAGACCTGCCAGCCCCAGAGGTAACAGTCGGGGCCAGGTGCCGGGATGCAGACACGTTTTACTTAAGCAAATAGTCTTATATTTGTGCATTTTAGGCTCCTTTATTCCCATCAGGATAAGAAACACTGCCATTGCTCTGTTCAGTTCGATATGTTATGGAACTAGTGCTTGTATGTTGTGGAAATTCTCTCTCTTCAGAGATGGATTTGGGTCGTTGCTGCCAGTGATCTTTTCATTTAATTTCCTCCTTAAATAAACTTGGGCTTTCTGCAGGTGAAATGTACTTTAGTGGAAGCCCACCAGGAAGCACTGAAGAGCGCTAAGGAGAAGCTTGAGCTAATGAGACGAGGCGAGAGAGAGGCCGAGTGGGAAGTCACGAGTGAGGACCCGAGGAGAGGGGCTGAAGAGAGGCCGATGCAGCTGCTCCTCGAGCTGCGGGAGCAGGCCGAGTCCGAGAAGCTGTCCATGATGCACAGGTTTGAGCTTCGAGAAGCCGAAATGAGGCAGCTGCAGGACCAGCAGGCAGCCCAGATCCTGGACCTGGAGGGGTCGCTGATGGAGCAGCAGGGCCGCCTGAGGCAGCTGGAACTGGGGCTCTCGGGGGACGAGTCTCTGCAGTGCAGCCAGTGTGGCCGGGAGCTGGGCGGTGGTCTGGCCCCCACGGACCGGGACCACCTGAAGGAGGACTGTGCTCTCCAGCTGCAGCTGGCCCAGAGCAGGTGGGTGACGTTCCTGTGGCCGCCTGTTCAGCACGGAGCCGCCCGCCTGCCTGGGTGAGGCCGGTCCCCAGGAGGGCACGCGTGGCTCTTGGGGCTGCGGGACCTGCTGGCAGCAGCAGCACCCCCGTCCTTCCTGTGGAGCCCCCGTCCCGTGATCCACGCTGCCCTGCATGCATCTGTGACAGTCGTTTGTGTTCTCTGCACGGTTCACGGTTTCAGTAGCAGAACTGCAGCCTCATTTATCGTAAGGACGTGTGGTTCATTTCTGAAGTTTCTTGTGTATTTTAAACTCAAACGATTTAAAAAGAAAAATAAAGAGTTTTTCTCCACTATGTACGTACTTCCCTGAAGCTTTAAGTAGATTTAGAGTGTGATTTGGTTCGCTGCCTCTTTGCACATCTGGGCTGTAGTGACCAGGGGGGTTGGTGAGCCCTGGTGTCACCGGAGCTACTGTTGGTTTTGCTGCTTCTCATGCGGCAGCTGCTCCCCAGCGTCATGAGGCAGGTGCAAGAGCTTCTGCTCTGGGGTCTGAGAACTGAGTTCAAATCCTGACCCACTGTGTGAGCTGGAAGGACGCAGGCATGGTGGACAAACTCATGAGGCCTTAGTGCCCTCCTGCATGGGCTGATCAGTGGAAAGGCTTTCGTGGTGTCTGGTCCACAGTTAGAACCTGAATCCCATCCCAGCTCTTGTCACTCACCTGGACGCACCATGTGGTGCTCATGTGTAATGGGTGCCCCGTAGAGATTCTTCCCTGCTGGGGTGTTGGGTGCTTCAGTTAGAGGGGCGTCTCCCTGCTTCTGTGTTTGCTAGCCAGTGTCACCTGCAACTCATTTAATTCATGCCCCTAATTCACTCCAAAGGGGTTTTGGGGGTCTTCTGAATGCTCTTTGCAGCCCTCTTGGCTCCTGTAAACGATGCCGCTGCCCCTTCCCTGTTGAGGTCCTCTCCTTCCCGAGGAGCGGTCACACCTGCTTCCCTGTGGAGTCTGTGGAAATGTGTGTGTGGTTTCTTGCTGGGGGTCCTGTGTCCTGTACTTCAGTCTGTGACCGGGGACGCCTGGGCTCTGGCGTCCGAGCTCCTCTGGCTTCGTGGGCCCCTTGGCTCTCCGCTCACGGCTGGCAGTGGGGCTCAGACCACCTGCAGCCCCGGGAGGTGGAAAGAGCAGGGAAAATCTGGGCACGATGGTCTCACCAGTAGAAAGTGGTGTCTCCTGTGAGGAATGTGAGGTTGATGCTTTTGTGGCTGCACGCCGGCTCTCCATGTTCACTTGGCTTGTCTCCTCAGGTTTTTAGAAGAACGTCGAGAAATCACAGAGAAATTTGCTGCAGAGCAAGACACCTTCCTGCGGGAGGCCCGGGAGAAGCACGCCCGCGAGCTCCAGCTGCTCCAGGAGAGTCACCGGCAGCACGTCCTGTCCTTGACGGCGGAGCTGGAGACCCGGCACCAGGCTGAGGTGGACGCGCTGAGGGCTTCTTTGGAGCGAGAGTGGTGGGCTCTCTCAGAAGCCCGCGTGGCTGAGCTGCAGACAAAACACGCTGCGGAAATCACTGCTTTGGAGACCAGACACGCGTCACGCCTGGACGCTTTGGAGTCGCGTTACCTGTCTGAGATGCAGACCTTGCTGGGCCTGGAGGAGCAGCTACAGAAAGAGGATGTTTCTCACCACATGGTCTTGACTTGGGTGTTAGAGAAGCTGAAGCTGAAACACGATGAAGAGCCCCAGTCCACAGAGGACGGCCTGAGAGCGGGAGAGAACACAGAGCACGTGGAGGGTGTGAGAGCCTCCTGGCTGCGCGGAGCTCGCCAGGTGAGGTGCGGGGCTTTGCCCTTCCCCAGGACTGGTGTCTTCTGTTGCCATGTGTGCCAGCTGCACGTGTGTGTGTGTGTGTGTGTGTGTGTGTCCCAGGGACAGCAGTGGGTTTCCTGGTGAGGCAGGTACAGAACAGGGAGTTTTACGCGTTTTTTTGTCTCAGGTTCCTTGGTGAAGGCTTTGGATCTCTGATCCTGGAAAAATGTGCACCTGTGCCTGCGCACAGCGTTGCCTGTGAGATTTCAAAGGGTTCAGAGCGCTCCTCGGGGCCTCTACCGATTTCTGTGAGATTAAACCCTCTGTCCTGTGTCAAGAGCAGCGACTGTCCCCTTGGCAGGTGCTCTCAGCGGTAGTATGAAGGGAGCTTCTGGAGACGGCCCCATTGCCCTGGCCAGCGCTCCCGTTTCCTCATCTGCAGACCCATGGCACTTGTACGTCGCGAATAGGATGCACTTATTTGGCTAGAACATCATCACGTAGCGGGAATTCAGTGTGGGGACGGGCTGCTCTGTGCCCACTGGGCCAGGTGTGCGCGCCAGGCACTCAGGAATGATCCTGTTCTGGCGCCTTCATACTTTTGTCACGTATGTAAGAAGTAGATATTCAAAATTACAAAGCAGGAAATCTCAGCCTTGTGAGAACACAAGGACCAGGGAGAAGCTTCGCTCGTGACTGAGACGTGCTTTATGAGATGTTCCCAGGGGGTTTTAAGCCCCTTTGCTCCTGGTTTAGCTTGTTTAAGGCTGGAAGGAAGAAGGCGGCCTAGTGCTGAGAGGTGTGGTGGCTTCGTTTTATGCTTCGGCGCTGCCTGTCCTGTGTGGTCTGCGCGCGAAATCTTTTCCTTTTTTAAGAAGTTTCTTTATTTGGCTGCACTGGGCCTTGGGTGCAGCGCGCGGGATATTTGTTGCCGTGTGCGGGATCTTTAGTTGCGGCGTGTGAGATCTAGTTCCCCGACCAGGGATTGAACCTGGGCCCCCTGCTTTGGGAGCATGGACTCTTAGCTACTGGACCACCAGGGAAGTCCCTGCAGGCGAGATATTGAACAAATTCCCCGAGGGCTGAGCACATTCCACCTGGGGTCATGAGCCTCTGGCCTGTCCTTGAATTCGGGCCCCAGGGCAGGTGTCACAACTCCTCCCTGGGCATTGTCCTTTGGTGTGAATTTGGAGCGCTGTGGTACCCCCAGGCCAGTCTAGTGAGCTCTCAGTGTCAGCTTCAGTTTCCTCCCATGCAGATGGATGTGTGGGGAAGGGGGCTTGTTCCCAGCCTGTGGATTTAAATTAGATTCCCTGGGATTATAGGGTTTGAAGAAGATAAAGTCTAAAAGAGTATCAAGAGGAAGAAGTACGCATTTTTTACATGAGAAAGCTATGTATTTTAAACCATGGCTTAATTTTATTAGTGTAAAACGCACTTGTAGGAAGCACGTGGAGTGTTTCCCACCTTGCAGGTGGGAGGTGTGTGTGGGAGGCAGGGCCCTGTGGACTCGCTCTCTGCAGGTGGAGCTGGTGTGGCCTGCTGAGGGCCTGCCCCTGGGGCAGCAGCCAAAAGCAGCCGTGCAGGAGCTCAGGGCTGGGCATGTGGCCGAGAAGCAGGTGCAGGAGGCTCCGCAGGAGGGGGCTCCACAGGTTCCTTCTGGGCAGTGGTGGCTTCAGGGATGGCCTGGGGGTCAGGCTCTGGCCCCCCGGGGATGCCGGTGACGTCAGCAAAACCGCTGGGCCTCCTGAGGCTTCTCCTCGTGACCAGAGCCCTCGGGCATACATGAGGCCCGCAGTGGGGTGGACGCTGGGCAGGCCTCACACCTGCCAGGAGGGCCCGAGGCCTGTGCTCAGCAGGGGTGGGGTCTCTCAGGGGCTGCCTGTGCCAGGTGCCCGGCAGGAGCTCCATGTCCTCTGCATCCCGTGCTGCACCCCAAACCCTGGGGCCCATGGTGCAACCCGGGGGCACAGCCCTGCACAGACTCCACCGAAGTGCCCTCTGGCCCGATGTCCTGTCTTCTTTGTTCTCGTGGCGCCGGACACCTGCTGCCTGGCAGTTTCTGGGACACCCTGGCTGTGACCTCCTCTGAACTTGGCCTTGTCCCCCACCTGGAAACTCCCACTCTTGCCTCTCTTTCGTCAAATCGTTTTCTCCATGAGCGCTTCCTTCTGGGATGGCCCCTCCGTCCGGGACTCATGGCCCCGCGCCCTGTGCCCTGCATGGCCCACGGTGCGTCTGTGGAGCGCGTGCCACGTGCTGCGCTCCTCTCGCCTGCGCTCTGCTCAGCGGCGGCCCGGGCCCAGAGCGGTGCCCAGCCCGGGGCTCCAGGGCAGCACGACCGGGAGGGTTTTGCTGCCAGGGACCCCGTCCTGCACACCTCTTCAGGGCAGTTGTTGCTGAGGTGCCCGTGGCCCTGCCACACAGTGTCGCTAGGATCTCGGAGGTCAGGCGGGCAGTAAGGCCCTGACCGAGGGCAGGGCCCCTGGAGGGCAGGGCAGCAGCAAAGTGCCCAGATGTGTCCCATGGGGGCCGTGTGGTGGAGGCAGCTGCCCTGCTCTAGGTTGACCGAGGCTCGCGCGGAGCCCGGGGGCGGGCGGTGTCGGGGGTCTGCTGGGGCCAGGGAGAGGGCCCGTGCCTCTGGACCCAGGGGAGGCCGGAGGAGGCAGTGGCTGTGGAGGAGGATGGAGCAGGCGGGCTGCTTGGGTGCGTGGGTGACGTGTGTCCACGCAGAACAACCACCCCCAGCAGCTGCTCTTAGGGATCGGCACACGCTATGGGCTCTTCTTTAGATTTTTTTTCTTTTTTTTTGGTTCCTCTGGGCGGCTTGCAGGATCTTAGTTCCCTGACCAGGGATTGAACCTGGGGCCAGGCAGTGAAAGCGCTGAGTCCTAACCACTGGACCGCCAGGGAATTCCCACCTCTTTGGATTTTTAACTTTGTGCATCACCATGTTTATAAGCAACACGTCGAATTGCGAGGTCGAGGTTACAGTGGAGTCTAACAAAGCAGTTGGAATACGCGGGGCTGCTATGGAGGCTGGGACCTGGCCCGGGTTCTCGTGACCCCTCAGTGCCCTTTGCATTGACACAGGATGGCAGAGGTGTGTGCGGACGCCATGCGGCCAGGCCCCACGTGATGTCACTGCCCCGCCTGCCCGCCCTGCATGTGTGTAGTGCACACGCGTACCACACATGCAGCCGTGTGTATGCACGGAATTCTGCACACCATCCTCGCAGGGCTTGAAAAGCCCCTGGAGTCCATCTGAGGACACTTGGCTGGACGCCCCTGAGGCCCTTCTGCCTTGGTGTTCTTAGATTTGAAATACTTGTGTCTCCGCATCTTCTGGTCTTTCTGGGGGTAAGGATAACTGGTGTTTTTTGTGAAGCATATGTACAAACTTACTGAGGTTATAAATTTTTGTAGGTACTTTTTCTGTGGGGCTTTTCAAAAGGACATGTTAATAGCTCATTTTGAACCGTAAAATAAGGCCTGGCATTCGCTAGGTTTCCTAGGTTAATAGTCAGTGCTCTTAGCTGTGTGTGTACATATTGACCGATCTGAAATTAGCATGTAAACTGTTTTTTCACATGGAAGTTCCCAGAATGAGAATTAGTGGATTGGAGAAAAATAAAGGGAAGCATAAATATGACATTTATCCCTTATGTTTGGTTGAAAAGTCTGGGAGTTGGCATTTTTCTTGGTTTGCTCCTTAGACCCTGAGATGCCCTGAATCCGGGTTTCCCATGTTTGGGGAATGAGAGGACAGGAGGGATCCACACCCAGGAAGCCCGTGCCCACAAACGCTCCGAGAAACACGATAAAAGCCCGGCTGAGACCGGACATGCAGCTGGTCACTGATAAAGTCACACAAACCGTCTTCTCTTCACAATGTCATCTTACTCAGGTTTCATTAAAGAGGACAAAACTCCCTCATCCCCCTCAGTGTCCCCTCAGCCCCCATGTCCCCTCAGTGTCCCCTCAG